CCGAAAAAGCTATACGCAGTAAGACCGGGTCATCATCCAACAAAAAGAAGATGACCCGCAAAAATACGTATCAAAATTAATTATCATCATGACATCCCATCAGATCCTCAAATTGTGCTCTTTAAATTGTAATAGCCTACGCAAAACTCATAACCCTGACGCACGGTCCTCACTTATTCGGTACCTGCGTCAACAACAACCACAACTACTATCACTACAAGAAACCAATGCTTCTTCAGAAGACATTGTAAATTCATTCGACTTTCAATTCAGACCAGCAGTTAGCCTTTGGACTAGTCGCTGCGGCCTCCTTTCATTATCACCTGACATCACCATCACCAAGATCCATATCGACCTGGCGGATAATACGGAGCGGATCATTTTTGCTCATGTCCAATCCGTTTCCAGCACTTTTACACCATTCTATTTTCTCGTCATTTATGCACCAGCCACATCATCAATCCGTGAGCGACACACCTTCTACGACCAACTACTCGCATCACCTATTTTCAACAACCCTGACTCTAACTATCTTGACCGACTTATCATTGCCGGCGATTTCAACTACAACAGTCACCGAGCCGATCATCATAACCGAGTGCCTGCGGCTTGGCGCGCAGTTATTCAAAACAATTTTCTTGACTGCATAACGGATCCAGATGCGACATCACCACTACCCACCTACCGCCATGGGGATCTGTATCATTCCACACTCGACTACATATATGCTACGTATTCCCTACGCCCTCATATTACACGTGCTGACGTGCAAAAACTATGTAGAGCCTGGTCCGATCACAGCTTGTTGACTGCCTTTATTGATCTTGGTGAAAGCCCTCGCGGTAAAGGGTACTGGCGCGGTAACCCCAACTTCACCCGTATCAAAGAGTTTCGACAAGACCTAGCACGGCTGCTATCACGACTGCGCCCTAACCTACAGGCCAATGGTACAATCCAAGAACAATGGGACTGCCTGAAGGATGAATTGAAGCGTTTCATGCAACAGTTTGGACGCCAACGTGCTGACTGGCGGGACCAGCAACTCAAGGCCCTACAAACTAAGCGCAACCGCCTCCTCCGTGCAAATCCGCCCCCTGCAATACTGGAAATGCACTTGCCTCGAGTAGAGCGACAAATCGAAATCATCCAGCAAGAGATGGTTGACACAGCTGCACTTCGTGCTAACGTACGGTGGAGAGAACAAGGGGAAGTATCGGCTGGCTACTTAAAACGTACTGCCACCACTCGTCAGACACAGCGCCTGATCCTAGCACTGCAACAACCCCACACTAATAATTTGGCAACAACACCAACCTCTTTACAAGCAGCGGCCCGGGCGTTCTATCAGGATTTATATACTGCCGACCCAGTGGATCAAGACTCGATGGCCTACCTTTTGGATGAGCTTCCCACAGCCTGCACTATCACGGAATCTGCCTGTGAGTTGCTCACTGCTGCATTTTCCGCTGAGGATCTTATCAGTGGCGCCAGACGGGCACCAAGTAAAAGTAGCCCTGGCCTCGATGGCCTTCCATATGCAATCTGGTACTTGGTTTTTCAGCACCCGGACTACCAGGAGCTTGCTCGCTCCGTGTACAATGCTGCCCTACAGGATGCAGTGTTCCCCGCATCTTGGAATGACACTGCAGTAACCCTGCTTCCCAAAAAGGGCGATTTGACGACCTTACGCAATTGGAGGCCTATATCTTTGATCAATACGGACGCTAAAATATTCACTCGGCTATTGAACTCGCGCCTTATTCAAGCGGCTGATCCACTCATCAATGAATTTCAAACTGGATTCTTGCCAGGCCGGTTCATAGCCAACAATGGTATGTTGGTGAAACTGGCAATGGAACAAGCGCGCAACGATCCAGCTAGCAATCATATCGCTTTACAATTAGATGCCGAGAAGGCCTATGACCGCGTTAACCCAACGTATCTTCGCCAAGTCATGGTTCGTTTTGGTTTTCCCGAGAGGGTCATCAACTCCATCTGTACTCTGTTTTTCTCGACCCGCATACATCTCAACATCAATGGGCATGTGACGGATCCTTTCATCCAAGGACGTGGTCTCCGGCAGGGGGATCCTATGTCGCCTATCCTTTTTAATCTTGCTCTCGAACCACTCCTCCGCCGCATTATACATGATACGTCTTTTCATGGCTTTCAACCAGCATCTAGTCAAACAATCACCACTCTTTTGCCACCAGCACCACTCAAAGTCCTCGCGTACGCAGATGATGTGTTCGTATTCCTCGCTTCACCTCAAGATTTGGAACGTCTGCGCCTCCATTTACACCATTATCAGGCCGCATCAAACGCACGGATGAACGCTCACAAAACTCAAGCCATATCGCTCTGTGGTAGGCCGCTTCCAGATTGGGCTCCTATCCTCGATAGGGCGGGCTATCCTCCATGCCACACTCGTGCTGATGACAACCCGGTAATTTACCTCGGCTACCCACTAGCATCATCCCAACATCAACTACACACGTTTCTAGAGCAGATATTGGTCAAGATACGGTCGGCCTGCCAGCTACACTCGCAACGCCAACTATCTATTCGCGGCCGCGCTACAGTACTAAACTCATTGATATTATCGAAGCTATGGCACGTACTACGACTCGTCGGTGCTGCGCCTTCATCCTTCTTCAGGAAATTACGCTCAATATGTGGCCAATTCCTCATGACGCGCATGTTCCCTCGTATCAGCTTCGAGAACCTTTGCCAGCCGCGCAGCCATGGCGGGGTGGGCATTTTGAATCCTCTGCTCCAACAGTCAGCTTTACAACTGCGATGGTTGGAACCGCTCTTTGACCAAGACTCAACTACAGCAACATATCTCACCACCTGCCTCTGGCACCACCTTGTGGTCTCGTCTGGTGCCTCAATCGACCCCCGCTTTACTCTGGTTTTTCCCGGTTTACGTGGTCCAGATGCAAGGGATTCGGGCACTGTCGGCTATCTGCTGTATCGAGCTATTGACCAACTTCCAATCGACTGGTTATCATCTAACCTCTCAGCCGCATCAGTTCTCCAGATACCGCTTAACGCCATTTGGGCACCAACAGCGGCTAACACCCGCCTCCATCGCCCGGGTTTCAAAACAATGAAAGTATCTGACCTCTTTGTCTTTGATGCTTCACTTGGCTATCTCCGCCGTCGATCAGCCGCAGATGGTATTATCCGGAGGATCCTCACTAATCGCTTTTTCAACGATCTCGCTCAAGGAAGAATCTTTATGATCAATGGCTTTGCACGGCTCTGTCTCCCGCCAGCATTTTCAGGCAACAGCCACTCTGGATGTCTTGGCGCAATTGATGCAACACCGCTTTCTCTCCGATTGCACACCACATTGCCCATATGGCAGACAAAACGATATCGCCGTACATGCTCACCACCAACGCATAGTGTCACTGGCATTACCGCTCGACAATGGTCCAAATTTTGGTCATGGCCCATGGAACACACTGCCCGCAACGTCTGGTTCCGCACTATCCATGGGACATTACCAACATCTTCACGCCTTCATAGCTTCAATATCTCGCATGCTCCATCCCCGGACTGTCGCCTGTGCCGATCCAACATTGATACCACGCCCCATTTCCTATTCGAATGCCCCCACAAATATCAAGTGTGGCAACTAGTTTGGGGTCGCCTTCGGTACTCGGATCCTAACCCAGCCTCGATCCTTCCACTACTCTGTCAACTCACGTTACCAGACGAACCACCTACACGTCCTATCACCATATCAACTCCTATTGCCTGCATTTTACAAGCAATCTGGGCAGCCTATTGGCGTTTTATCTTTCATGATGAGCCATTTGTACTATCCATGGTCGCCTCTCGGGTCTCTTCTCTGTTAATCCGCTTTCGACCTCTATCTCTTTAAGAAACCTTTTAATCTTTTCTTCTATACTATACCCCCACCCTAAAAACAAAAAAAAAAAAAAAAAAAAAAAAAAAAAAAAAAACAAACACAAAAAACATATCATAGCTACAACACCCCCTATCTCTACCTTCACATTTTACCACACATTATATCGCTCTTAGCCATAGTCATACTCAAGTATCTCTTTAGTCAATCTGTTCTCTCTGTTTCGCACACAGCCCGCCACTGTCATTGACACGTGGGACTGCAAATAAAACTACTTATTTCGAGGCCGACCAACCTCCATAAAAAAAAAAAACGTTTGCATTGTTGTCGTTTGTTGCGCAGACACCAACGATACCTTGGTGATTGCACGTCATCGCCAAGATTCCGTATCATCTTGGCCGTGCCAAGTAGAGAATGTGGATACAAGCAGCTATCACGCTTAGAATAACCATCATCATACCACTATTACGGGGTCTAGCAGTGCACGGCAGTCGCCCCAAACTGGAACGCCGTTAACTAGCTGGTGCGAAGTAGGTGCCCAGTAATAAATATCGCAAACAAACAAAATGTCATCTTCGACTCAAATTAGACTGTGAGAAAAATAAAAAGCCTTGGTGACGACATGATTATTTCATGGAGCCTTTTAGAATCAAGGAAGGAAATATTATATGAATGAAAGCTACAGTATCAGGACATACTGTGTATAAACAACAAAAGATGTTATTGAGAAGCTATACCTTAATGAACATTAGGTCCGAGCACACATTCTGGAAAGAAAGAACAAGTGTTAACCCAGCCCGTTCTCTTATCACGAGAAGTTTAGACCGTAAGATTCTGGCACTTTGCTACATAGTGCTGTAACAGCAGATGATGAAATGCTTGTGATGTGTACAGTAGATTTATCAACTTTTTTTTTTGGGAACCATGCGGCCGAATTAATGCAGCAACAAACATCGCAAAATGCCTGTTCCTCCGCGGGCGCTGATGATCTGTGCAACCATTCGTACATAATGTGTGCGTACATACTATGAGAGAGAGAGAGAGAGAGAGAGCGGGTGAAACACGCAGAAAGAGAGGAGAGACCAACCAAGCTTTCTTGCCTAGTACATCACATACAACAATGACGTTCAAAGATCTCCATTATTCATTGGGTAAATTTAAAACCGATGTGCGTTCTCAATTAGCACGTAAAAACCCTTTGCAGAAGCCAGATACAAAGGCTCTTTCCATGTGGATTTTCGAGGAACGGAACGATCTGAAAGCCATGCGCGTGTCGGCTTATCATCGCGCGGAAACATCCAAATCGTTTGCGGATTGGATTGATGAACATGACGATGATGACTTGCAGGTAAACCGTAATAGGACATTATTTCGAGTCCAAAACGTCCAAGTCGCTAGAGGAGGTGTGGCCATCGCAGAGAAAAGAACAGCCTTTTCTTTGTTTACGGGAAGAAAGGCTATTGACGAGTCATGGTAAATTTACGTTAGGATATTGGTGGTAAACTGACCCAGCTGATTGAAATGCATGCTGAAACGGAACGTGAATATATTGGTGAGTTCATTTTATTTTTTCTTTTATGTTTCTGTGTGTATGTGCATGCATCAAAGCGTTATATATGCCAGGAGTGAGATATCGAAAGCATGCCTGATAATAACTCGGAAGACAAACAACAGCGAAATATCAGAAATATCGACGTATCGTGAAAACCATCCGTGAACGGGATGAGACGGTCGTTTCGAGTGTCCGAGAAAAGAAACGAGCGGTTGAAGCGAGGCTACAGCATCTCTACAAATCCAACCGCAAATCACGCAAGATCCCCCAATTCGAACAAGAGTTGGAACAGTTGTCGACCGAGCTGGAACAGAAAGAAATTGAGTTGGCCGATTATAAACGGTTAGCCCTGCGTGAAGCGTTCTATGTACGGTTTAATGCATTGCATGAATATGCCGAAAAGTCATGTCTGATGGCAGGGTTTGGCAAGTATTTGGTGGATTTGATCGATATTGAGCCCAGCAGCAGCAAGCAGTCGCCATCGTCGTGTCACAGTAGGCCATATGCAAAATACCAAGAGTCGAATATGATTTGGATGGATTGCAAGCTTGCAGTAGAGGGATGGCGTCCAGATGATAAAGACGAGCGACCTACGGCATTGGAAGACATTATGCTTGACGGAGGAGAAGGAGGACAACGTGATGGATTTGTAGATGATGATGATGCAGAACTACTCACGGATGACGATGTGGCTACTCCACCGCCTGCTCATCATCAGCAACAGCATCATGAGCACGTAGAAAAAGAGCTTGATGAGAAATGGACTTACGCAGCTTCACTGGAACAACAAGATCGGCGGCTCCAGCAGCCACATGTGGATCACAGCGAAGAACAAGAACCGCCACCAGCATATACACCACCTATTGGAAACGTGAATTATACAGCATCAGAAAAAACCATTGGTGGTGGCAGCCCGCAACCTCGGCATCAAACAGCGGCTGCAACGGCTCGATTTAGCAGCACGGATCCAACAACTAGAATCACGCCACTGGCTACAGCGCCTGCCACCTTGGCAACAACAGCAGTTACGGTAGAGCGTGGCATGTCATCCGAAGCAGCAGTGGCGGCAACAGCAGTAGGAGAAGGGAAAGCACAGAGCAGTAATGACGACGGCAGTGATGACAGCAGCAATAGTAATAGTAGTGGCACACACAGCCACCTAGAAGCAACAACAATGACATCGACCTTGGAAAAACATTATCAGGCCACTGATTATCGGGACTTGTACAATCAGATCACGCAACGTGAAATGTATGCCGTGCAACCGAGGCCGTACGCCGAATTTCAACAACGGCTGCAGATAAACCATCGTCATCATCAGCATCATGGTGAAGGCGGCGGTGGTGGTGGTAGCAGTAGCAGCAGTGATAGGGGTCGCATCTTGTCTTCTCATCCACAATTGCCGCATCGCCAAGAAAAGTCTGATTGTGTCACCGGGAAAGAAGAAGAAAAGGAACCAAAACAGAACTAACGGGGATATCCCCAACAACCCGGCTTTTTTCTTCTGTATGAGGCAGTTGTATATCTAGTATTTCTAATGGCCCACACACACTCTCTCTCTCTTACTTGTGAACGCTACTATACCAAATTATATCATTCTATTACCTGTGTCCGGCTGTTTGTTTGTGTGTTTGTGTGTTGATATGGTGAGAACGAAAGGTGAACTGTTACACCAAGTTGCAATGGTCAAATGCTGCTGTCGTCCTATATAGTCAGCACTGTACGTATTATATACAAGCCAAAGTTGTATCCAATTCCATCCATGAACAAATTCATCCTAGTTATAATACACAATAGGATGTTGCTTACTGCATCCCCTCGTTCCTCTACATCGTGTCACTTTCTTTCATCGAAACTTCCATGTACAGAATGTGAAGAACTATAATGTTGATGCTGGTGATGGATTGCCCTGAAAGAAAGAACAAGGGGTGAGAGGGAGGGTGTGTACAATATACTGTTGCGTATATGTAAACTTCCATGGTGGAATGGGAATCCATGGACCACGGAGCTTCAGGGTCATTGCTGCCGATCGATTTTTCTATAGATTGTCAGTATATGGTTAAAGCCCAGAAGGGAGAGAACAACGACAACCACAAGATGATCATGACTACAAGTAACATTTGTTGCTGCTCTCAGTCAAACTAAAATAAGCTGTATGCTGCTACCCACCACTGCTATTGCTTCTCGCGCTGATGATGGCTGCGCTTACTATCACCAAGAAGCACTCATCAAGTAGCTGTCGTCACCCGCGGAACTCCCCGGGTTGTCGCAAGAAGAAAGCGATGACTCTTTTTTTTCAACCCGGGCCTCATGTAACGAAAACGGGTAACCAACGGAAACAGGTATCCGAGGAGCCAAAAAAAAAAAAAAAAGCTAAACTGTTTTATGTGCAAAAGTTGGACTTGGCTTAAAACGTGTCTTTAAAGACAGAAGAGGGCTTATCTGATATGAGTTTTTATTGTGTGTGTGTGTGTAATCGTAAGACTATGTTACTTTTTTTTTTTTTGTAAAGTTCGATTGTGTAAGGTTTCTTGTTGTTTTAGAATGCAAAATGAGAAATGCTATGCTATATGATAGTGGTGCTTTTTTTTTCTTTTAAGAGAGAGAGAGGGTATAGATATGAAGGGCATGATAATATATACAAAAAAAAAAAGCAAGAATACTAGAATGGAGGATCTTCTTCTTATATTGTGTTGAGAGGGAAAGGGGTTGGTATCAAATTTTGCGTAGAAGTAGTAGTGGTAACGGTAATGGTAGTATGTAGTATGTGAGGATGAGCAAGTGCTTTAGCTCCACGATTCATGGAGATTGACAACGACATGGAGCCATTCATTATGCTTGACGGCGAAATGTTCAATGATCCACTTGTATACGAGGCTTCCGTGGATGCGGACTAGTAGACGCTTTTGGCATATGGGACAGGGTCGATAAGAGTATTTCTTGGGTTGCTGGGCGACTGCTTGTTGTTGTTGTCGTCGTCGTCGTTTTTGTTGGGCAGAAGAGGATGAGGACGACGAAGAGGATGATGTAGGCGATGGGGCGGAAGTGAGCTCAGGGCTCTTGGCCAAGAGGAGCTCTGGATGTTGCGGATGTTGATACATTGTGGAGAGAGCCATAAAGAAGTTCTGTTGTTGTTGTTGTTATTGTTTGTTGTATTGGCAATTCGATATGGGGAAATGTTGGCGTGTGTGCGTGCAAGTGAAAAGAGAGAAAGGTTGCTTGGCTACCGGGGCGGGGGTTGGGGTGTGGAGGGAAAGGTAAGAACATGGCCCCCTTTTATACCCATTCCGCGCCTCGAGGGAAGCTTGCATTCAGGTCCAACTAAAACTGGCGTGGGACAGGGAAAAGAAAAAGCATAGGGTGGGGTGAGGTGAAGGGGGGGGGGTGTGTGTGTGAGTGTATAGTACAGTATGTGTTGCAGGAAGAAGAAGAAGAAGAAGAGGAAGGTTGGGGGGGGTGGGGATAAGGGTGGGGTAACAGGGGTGACGATGTCTTGCAAGCAGACAGGCACGGGGCGTCTCTCTCTCTCTCTCTGTCTCTCTGTCTCTTTTGCTCTCAGTAGCTTAATGCTCCATCATCATCTCTGGTGCTGTTTAGCAGTGTACTCCTTTATTTTGATTTAGCAGCGCATACATTAAACAGGCAGGCAGTGATTTTCCCCGCCAATATTGCAGAATGGACGGGGGAATGTTATGTTTACACGTAAACAACACGCAGACAGAGCAAGAGAGACGCGGCTATTATGTATATATGACGTTTAAATGAGCCGGCTTCCGTCTCTCTCTCTTCCGCCAAGGCAATCACAGTCTGTATGTACCAGTACCAGTATGCATACAGTACTGTACAAGCGTATCATAGTAATAATACATAGCAAGTTTCTTACTTGCTCCCTTCTAGCTTTCTTTAGACAGAGTTGTCGGGTGACATCTTCTACCCGATCTCCACAGAGTGGTATTCTACATGGTGCCTGAGAAAGAAAAAAAAAAAAGGAATCGTCCGCTCTCTCCTACATACACTGATGTGGTGCACATAAGCCCGTCATGTTCTATCATACCCCGTTCATCGGAAGCAGTGCCATATTGAGTATGTTTGCCGACCCTTGTGTGAAAAGAGATCATGCCCCCCTCTCCCTTTTGCCTCTCTTTTGTGAGAATTATACATAGTGTGCATCGTGATCAGTCCGAACACTCCAAAATGAAATAGATAGCTTGTTGATATGATACACATGCTTGTTGTAAAAGACAAGTAGCAGTTTCGGGCCATACAAGCAACTTTTTATTGCCTGATGTCACCTCAATAATATATGAGAAAAAAACAAAAACGCACGCACTGACCGTTGTCACGCTATTAAAAAGGCCCCCCAAACAAAGTTCCGTCATGTACACATACAATACATAACGGGTCCGGTGAGATCATCAGCCGTGTACCACTACTACAGTAATGTGTACTATCATACTTACTACCCGTGCTGATATCATATCATCAATTAGTTGGTGTCATCGTCTTTCCATTGTCAGGTACATTTCCAGTATCAGTAAGATATACTGTAGTACTACGCCTGTTCCCACAGATAATCAGGGTAAACAAAGCGTTGAATATAACCCTAAAGAGAAATGCAAAAGGCTGTAAGGGCTATTAGATGCAGTACATGCATTACTACTATGTACAAGTTATGTATATTGTGCAACAACCTAGCAATAATGTACACACATCATTCTTCTTCTTCTTCTTCTTCTTCACGACGATGCCCCAGGGCAACTTGTTTGCTCATGACAACGATGGTGACAATGATGATGGGCATACCATTCTTGCCTAGCCGGTTTTCGGCACCAGCTGTAGAACAATTACGTAGACGAGTGCCAAAAAAGTCAAGGCCCGATGATCTTCTGGATTCGTGTCACTCAGGCACAAGAAATGGCTCTAAGATACTATAACAATAATATATATATATATATATATTAAAGAGACCAAATTCTCTCAAATAGATGGGAGGGTTGCACTGCAATAGAATCATCTTGGGTCATGGGTGGTACAGTACCATAAGCTGTAGGTATCACCTTTTTTTTTGCGTACACTTCTTTAGAGGGGCTGTCGATGATGAACGGAGACGGTGGCTGGGCTCTATTTTTACCTCTAGTTGTTGACGATATGATTACCTCTTCTCTCCCTCTCCCCTAAATGATGTATGTTCTTTACTGTTCTGTGTATCGGCAAATACGACTCATCGATATATGCAACCCCCCCCCACCCCATTCTTCTTTTTGTTGTTGCTGCAAGCGCCCAGGTAATAAGGAACATGAACCGAGGACGACTATGCACGAAAGGTAACACAGGACTGCGATCTAATGAACAATGAAGGGAAAAAAAAATCAGCAGTTCGGTGTGTTTTCTCTCTGGGCGTAGCAAAAAGGCATTTTTTAATCAACTTTTTGTTGCAGCAGGCCTTACTACATGGCGTCTGTGGGAATAGGAGTATCAACACTCGCTTATGATAGTAGCTCTTGGCTTGACTACTTGGCTGCTGCTGCAGAATGTTGTGTAATCCAAATGATTGACCCAAGCTATGCATGTTTTGGCGCCCTCATGTTGCACTTTTAAAATGTCAGAACTAAAAGAGAAAAACAGGGGGCTGGTGTGTGTGCACTAAACCTAATAGCAGACTTGTTCCTGCTGTTGTCTTTTTTTGTTTATGATAAAAGGCGGGAGACGCTGTTGTTGTTGTTGTTGTTGTTGTTGCTTCAATTCAATAAACAACAAACACAACAAATCTTCTTGTTGTTGCCGCTGTGCTATTACACGCAAGCAGGTTTTCCTTATTGTTTATAGTATATGTACGATGTGATGCGCTGTATCTGCACAAACGTTTCAAAGCTGTGTTGCTGTAGTAAGCTCCAAATGCGGTGAAACACATATTATGCATTGATTTGCATTTGCGGAAAAGCTGTTTCGTGACATGGATCGGTCCGTGTCTGTAATCGTATATCGCTGCTACTTGGGAAAGAGGAACGTACAACGTAGAAAGATGACTTGGACTTTGCTTTGGTCAGGTGCTATGAAACTCTCTTTTCTTGGTGCAACAGGTTGATCTTGATACTTTGCTTTAGCTTATATGCTACTTACTTATGGTGGCTTCTCTTCTCCAAATCCCAAAGCGATAACCATATTTCCCAGGAACAAAAAAACGGCTTGCGCCTTGCAATTCTTATCATTACGTATGTCTTGCGTCGTTTGTTGCATACAAACACTCTACACTTGATTCGTTTCAATATGTATCATCATTACCCCTTTTAATATATATTTTATCAATTTATCTGATAAGAGTTCTTTTACTGTAGTACTACTTTTAATGGGATGGTTTTGATATGGTATATAGTCATCACCATCTCGCGCTATAATTCTTGATGACCTACACTGCACCAAAGCGTTCGAGCACATTACAAGCTCATTGAGATAGCCCACATCTCTTCTCTTAGAAATGTTAAAGCCCAGTGCTTCTTGCTTATATCTTATTATTGCTTATCGCTCTTTTTTGTGTGTGCGGTTGGCTATCCAGATTACTGCGGCTGCGAGCTTTCTTTTTGGTATGAAAAGCAACCAACATATTTCAATAAAATAGATTTGATTGCTTATATTGCCCAGTCACTACAGTCACTACACCGAGTAATATATTTGGTTCTGAAAGCAAAACAAGCTCGCCGTGGCATTACAATGACTTTGATTGATATGTACGTTACTACACGTTTCACCCTGGGGATGCACTCTCTTGTTCAGTACCTGTGACCCTCTTGCCCCGATGACTACTCTGTGCACATTCACACACAGTGTCACAAGTCACACACTCTTTCATTCTAGGTATGTGTAATAAATCATCGTACTTGAACAATCACCCGAGGAACCACAAAATGGGATTACCCCACATTTTGAGACGAGTATTTTAAAGGTTTTTGCAGGGTATTATAATGTGAGCAGCTTGCAAAAATCAAAAATCGAACAAAATTACATATGTAGCAACAATTTATAACCTATGTATTTCAATGATTACTCTAACCATCACACGCAGCACTACATATATGGTTTGTTGAAAGGATCGCATCTTGATGTTTATGTCTACTCACAAAAGCTGTACACCTCTTTGGTATTTGGTCTGTATCTTCAAGAATAGAACGACACTGGTAAAGCTACGAAGCGTCACCTTTCTTTATCTCTAGGGCTCACGATGCACAGAATTTTATGACGTGATGGTCATCCCTGATATCATTGACAAACAAACTGTTTTCCGTTATGGGAAACACTCACTACTAAAACAGAGGGACCCGCCCGTTACTGCCAGAGCGCCCACTGTATACTTTGTTTTTTTTACATGATAGTTATATGCTATCATAGTGCTCGAGACAGTATAATTCAACATACAAGTCAGCAATAAAGCAGCTCAATCAATCTAGAATGTGGCAAAGAACCAATTTTTGGTAAAGAATCTTCAAAATTAAAAAAGTATGGCTTTGGATGATATGCGATGAAATATACTGTGTATGTCATAACTTGATATTCCCATAAACGTTTACCGCTAATATCATGTGTTAGTGTTTGCACCATCACATCCAATTTCCATATTTAACTAAAATACTGTTTCTAATGATGATCATCAATCACGTTTCTATATACACAGAGTATAAAGGAGTCAAATCGTAAGCATGGTAGATGCTACAAATGCTAACACCAACAGCGCAGCATTAGCTATAAGCAGTTTGCCCGCACATCTATCTTTGCATCAAAGTCAGCTGTGGGAAATTTGACTGATATGTTTTCTTGATCAAACGGCTAACGTAATTTACACTATACCGTTTTTCCCCATAGGTAGCTCTTCAAGGAAGTACAACCTTACAAAATAAAAAGCCGATTATGGTGCATCCCATTATAAATCGTCAAAAAGCGAGCTCTAATAAAAGATCAATAAGTTTATGATTTGCTTATTTGTTACTTAAACATTATTCTTTAAAATCTTTAGAATAGCTATTGAACTCGGGCTTATTTTTTTTTTGTAAAGAAAAAAAGTTTTCAGCCATCAAGTTGGCCGCTTTTGCCGGTTTTTGGCTGAAATACTGAACTTTATGCCGGATTCGAAGCCTGGATCGTTCTCAGCCAATAGAATTCCGTGCCGTATTTAGTTTCTTTGCTAGTAAAAAGTCGATACTACACAGGTAACTCTGCCAGAAAATTTGGCTGTACATTTTGTGACCTAAGTGACTAATAGAGCAGATACATTGAGGCATACAGCCGCAACATGTCTGGAGAACAAAACAAATAAAGAGGTCCGCAAGTTCTCTTCTAAAAAAAATGAAGTCGCATCGGCGCATAGGCGCACAGGCGTAGCAATATAAAGGTTGACTTTCAAAATATCGGGATGCACCATGTCTATCCGTCACCAGTACATAATTCATGTAGCAACAACGTAGTTTTTTTTTCTGCAAGAAGATTCTATGTACTGCAGTAGCTCTCCACATCCTTTCCTTACTCATACGGGATCTATAAAAATGCTTGTTAATCAAAATAACTTTTCCTTTCTTTGCATTTTTTGTTCAGTAGATTGTAAGTGTTGTACTACTATGTACATAATAGGCATCATTGGCAGTCTAGAGTATATATATCCGTTGTAGACATCTCTCGTGGCTCCAAGATCCGATGCGTCCAAATTATAAATTTTTTGTAATAATCATCCACACCCCGGTTTTCACGATATATAAAAGGTCAAAGAATTAAACTTTAACAAAGCACCAAGTGCCAAATCGAAAAGCAAAATCCACCAAACATTATTGGAAATTCTTTATTATACCACAGTGTACTGAGCATCAAGAGCAGTATCAGAAGCAGTATTGCTTTCCGCCAGAGCGATCACCTTGAGAAATTCTGTATTCACGGACTTGGTGTCATTTACGTGAGGATAAGATTCATCAGGTATGGGCTTGCCAAGGAACGGACATATCTTCTCCCATGTGATACCATCCTGCAAGTCCAGCACAAGCAACCGATCTGCTGGGACGTTTTCCAAAACCCATGCGTTATGCGCCTCGTAGCGTGCCTTCATTACTTCGGGTTCATCCTCGAATTTTTGCCCATCTATAAATGCGCCTTGGAGAAAAATGGTTTTAAACATTCTTCGACTGCGAATAGCATAGTCTTTGGCGTTTTCTGGAAGTTCGTCGCGGAACTTGTAGATGGTATTGAGCACAGACTTGTACCAGCTATCCGGATCACGTTTGGTTAGGATTACTTTGGCATTTGGATAATAGTCAAATAATCTGTCGAGAAAAGAGATCGTAGGACTACAGTATTTTGAGTAAACGGCAAAATCGAATATCAAGATATCATCAGAACGTATGCTAATGTCTTGTTGCAAACAATAAATGTGCGTCGGCAATGAGAAAATGTGTACATACCAATCGGCTGCTGCACTAAATCCTTCGTAAAGCTCGTCCCAGTCAACAGGCTTCTCAGGATGCAAGTACGCTTCTTCAAAAACTTCCGGCTTACGATCACATTCATACATAGACCTCATGTGGTGGGTGTTGTAGCTAATTTCCATTGAAAAAAGTGTTTTAGATGACGCAATCATATTGTGCAATAAAAAAAGCGCACATTTCCTTCTCTTACCCCAACATATTGAGTGCTGTTCTCAAACTATCAGTGCCTGTTCGGCTCATGCCAGCTCCAATCACTTCAAGTGGTGCCATATTTCTTCAGTATGTACTGGAGGATATAGTAGAAAGATAAAAGATGGAACGATTGATTCGATCGATCCCTTTATACACGGCCAAAGGTGCAAATTTATATAAAAAAGGCAAGCGATAGTCTCTATCAAGTATACACAAAAGAAATGATTGGCTTAGACTGCAGATTTGTTTTTTTGAGGAAGTGTCAGGAGGAAAACTGACGATTCTTAGGGACGAGGATGTGGGAGCCGGGACCGTTGGTGTTAGAAATCGTGTCACGTCAGGAACAAATCGTGTCACAACAACAAGAAACATTACAGAACTGCGCCAAGTGCATAAGTCAGGAAGCTGTTCCTTGTGCATAAACGTCGTTTGAACGAATAAGAGGAAGCACAATGTTAAATATAAGAATGAGGAGGATGAACAAAGCTTGTTGATAATGAGTTTTACAAAATGAAATAAGCGAAGAGGTAGTTAGAATATAGGTTGTTATAGTGTGGTGCAGGCATCGATGATCGAAATGTGGAAGAAGAGTGGCAGTGGTACAAGGGTAAAGTGGAGCAAAGTGTAAGATGTGGAAGTGGAGGATAAGTGCAAAAAAGAGTAATGAGACAACAGTAGAGCAACGTATGATTTAAAAGTAAGGATTTTGGAGTAAATACCATAAGCAACCGGACTTACTGATATTAAAAACTTGCTTCATTTCCTCACTGCAATACGGTTGCAAATCAACAACTTCGTTCAATGGCACTTCGTCGATAGACCTCGTGATTCAACTGGCTCATCTACACGGACAACAGGATTACCAATTGGATCTTTCTCACTGTCGGTGTATATTGATGTTGTGCAGAGTTGGCCGTATTCAAGGTTATTAGCAATGTTGAAAGACAAGCGATGAAGACTGATAGTGACGATAGGTTCGTATGCTCGAGCTGGCAGAAGATCAAGTGCTATTTGTTTTCCGTTGTTTTGTTAAACTGCCAAACATAGGTTGCATTGTTCTGCAGTCGAAAAAGAAGCCAGCGACACCTTCCTTTATCTCTTTCGACGAGACAATGTTATCAACAAATCCCAGATCATATCCAAGGTATGAAATTCGTATGTGTTCTTATGTATTCGTCGATCGAAGAACCAGCTTTAACTCGTGCATCTCCGTCATCCTACGAGCCACCGTCGATTACATGCCTGAACATAATCTGGCGTCCAATCATTTCGAGAGCATCACGAGAAGGGTTATGTCTATTGGAGTGGAATATATGTTCACGAACGAACTTGTTGAATTGTTCCCCTTTCTCAAATTCGAAATGAATTGCTGTTGCGAACCGATCAAGGTCGTCGGCTATGTGATGGAGATAGTGGAGCTTTGGCGTTTCACTTATCACTGGCTTTTTCTTCGAATTTACTGGACGTGAGGGGAAGACACGCTCCACTTCGTTGATACGATCGGTAAGGCCCTGAACTTTCTGTTGGACAAGTTCGCAGTAAAACCCGAAAGTTTTTAGGGATTCGGCCCGTGTATAATAGGGAGACCAGCTCACCTAGTTAAAAAAAACCCATGTCAGCATATTCTCTTCTGCAATATCATCATAACACCATCAACTATAACAAGGGTAACTCACCGTGAACAACAAAGCAATTTAGCACAATTCGCAACTTCTCCTTCCTAGACTCTGGTAAGTTTCTCCATTCTTTATGGAGAAGCCCGTTTATGATAATCGGTAATTGCCGAGCCAGTATCTTATAATCGCGACCTCCGAATGATTGACTTGATACCCAGAAACAACTACCAAGGACACGGCCAAAAGCGGCTGAAATGTAGTTTGCGCAACCTGGTTTGCAGCTGCTCGGTCTCGCGCGCGCTCAAGAACTCCACCGTCGCAAAAACGAGATACCTAGTAACACCAAGCATCATCGTATGCAAGATTTCGACTGGACAATCTTTGGTCATATCAAATGCCTTCAGTCTCAACAAAGCTTCACCGCCAGTGAGCTTGTAGCTGTGTGCGTCTCCGCTACTCGACGTTGAGCCGTTTGCAAGCTCGACTCGATGAGGCAAATCGAGCCCATCAACAAATGCTTGAATGTCTTGAAGCTCACCAAGTTCTGCATCTTGGTGGTTAATGGTCGTTGAGTCTTGATCGGCAGTGGGTTTTCGATGGTAGCATTTTCGGCAATTGTACAAAGAGTTGGTTCCTTTATGACAGGCGATTTCAGAATGCGCTGGATTGTCTACTGTTATAAAGTTGAGCGGTGCGAAGACCAAAACATTTTCTTGACGCTCCTCTTTCCAGCTCAACCAAATCGTCCACCACGTCTGTGAGCATGACTCTTGCTGGCAAACGATTATGCAGGTGTACTAGGAACGTGTTTTCACGCCGATTTCGCTCCCCGAGGGATAAGGCAGCAGGAACCATTGACCAACTCTGTAATAAGATTAAGGGGGAACGACCCGGACATCGGCAAAGTCAGCAGCGTATTCAGCAGTGATAGCGTCAATAAACAGTTGCATACGTACTGGAGGGTGAGGCTGCCTCGGTTTCTGGTCCAGGCATAGGCTGTTCCGTGGAGCTCGACGACACGACGATATCCTCCATCGCTGTATCTTCAGAATCTTGCGCTGGGTATGCTGGCTCATTTCTTAAGATGGTGGCCATGCGGTCTCGATGAGCTTTACTGAGCTTGTGTCTAGCAAGGTTTCTCGTTTGCTACATTCGCACACCACACTCGCAAATGATGGGCTGGTCATCAGCACGTTGTAAACGATAATGCTGCACTGGTCTGCGAGTAGTTGCTTGCTGCTGATTGCGGTTAACTGAGACCTTGAAAGTAGGAATGGTGTGTCTTTGCATTTTGAGAAAAATGATCTCGGGTACGCGTCCCTCTTCCTGCCTTTTTTACTTTTTTTAAAGTCAGGGACTCATTAAGGTATTACATCTTAGACATCCATCCTCATCTTCAGAATTTAGCACACAGTAAAGGTTACAACAGGTGCTTTTTACAGTTTTTGAAGTTACCAGCTAGCGCTGGAAATGCGCTACAATGTGACAGCCTTCAAGGTGAGTTTGCTAATCTTTCTAAACCAGGAGTCAATGTTTCGTTACTATTTAACACTTTCATCTTCTTTATTATTAAAATCTTTAAAAGTTAGCTGAAAAATCCAAAAAAGGAAACTCTCATCCATGTAAATTCACAGACAGAAAAAGAGAAAGTAAATACTTACGCAAAAGCATTCCCCAAATTCATGGGGGACCTCGGCCGCACTTTTTACCCGTGGGCGCGGGGAAGTTGAAGATGAAGCAGGACTTACGCCCGGAGGTTGCCTGAGTAAAAAAAACAGCCGTTCGCGTGAAACGATGCAACATCCGAAGATGGGTCGAGACAGAGGCTACTAGGAACTGTAGAAGAAAAGCAAAGGGGAGGGGAGAAAAGGTGGATAAACTATATAAGAAACGCAATAGACGCTTTTAACGACTTCCTGGGTCAGAGCAAGGGGAGGAGGGGAGGGGGGTTATAAAATATATAAAGAACGCAAAGAAGAAGATGAGGCTTTTAAGGACTTCCTCAGGTCCAAGTCAAAGCAAAAAGCACACGCCACCGTCCAGATGGATGGATAGATCTTGACCACTGCCGATGGACTACTTGACAGGTCGGCTTCTAGGAGCGGGATGACAGTGGAGCATCAATCTTGACTAGCATGGAGGTGTCTGTGCACTATCGCCATTCTGAGAAACGAAAGAGATGAACAGTTAATGGGAAACTGTTAAACCACACACATACAAGATTCTATCGTGCTATACTTACCTATACTTCTACGATGAGACACAGGAGAGCCGAGCACACGGCCAGAGCAGAGCAGAGAATCACAGCCAAGACAAAAACACTTCTTCTAGCTGGAGAAAAAGATCATTAGAGGGTTTCACACACTGTGCTATCTTTATTTTTTGACACGGCATTACCAAGTTGAGTCCAGCTATACTTACATTTGTTTTATCGTTTTACAGCAAAGTTATAGACAGAGAGAGATGGGGTCTAAGCCAATCCAAGTTCAAACAGATCACCGCAGAGCCATCCTCTATTAGAAAAACGAAAACATCTATGAGCAGCTGCATACACTTTTTGACATGTCACGGCAGACATCTTCCTGGTTCTTCAAACACGCAAAGACAAACACAAGCACAGCGATACTTACTAATATGACATCCTTGGCTTGGAGGAAGAGAGCCTTGAGTTAGAGAGAGGAAAAGCAAGAAGGGGATGACCAATTCTGAAAAAAGAATAAGAGAAGAAAGGGGAGGAGAGAAAGAAAACTTTTTTGAGAGACTGCCATATTGCATACGTCATGGTCAGGAGCCCTTTCCCGTCACGCTGCTGTACACACTGCACACCTTTGACGCGTCATCCCCTACACCCATGCCATCCTACTCACCTATCATACCAATGTTCAAGTCCCCTTTTGCTTATACTTACTATCTGTAACTTGTCCGCAGGACACAATTAACCCAACCAGCATGAGGCGGAACCTGAAGTAGAATGAAAAGAAGAAAGATCATGAGCAGGCTGTTCTTAATATGCAACTATTCCTGACACGTCATGGCATCAACACCTCCAACAGACACTCGACTTCTCTCCAACTCATCCTCACATTTCATTCCCTACCGTACTTACAGTTGTTGCTTATGTTTAAGGGTGGGATGCAAACAACAAACCGAACCAACCATTTCAAAAAGTCAGAATCCTATAGTAGTAGCAGAGAAGAAAGGAGGATAACATTAGCGACTGTATGCTGTACACACACAACTTTAGACACGTCGAAATTCATATCTTCTTTCGTATATCACATCCACATGCAAAACCTCAAAGTACACTTCACACTTTCCATATTGTACTGTACTTACTCTTGCATTTGTGCTTTGAGTGGAGAAGGACCAGGTTAAGACGAGAAGAAGGTTTGTGTCAAAAAGAAAGAAAGTGAGATAAACGGATCTTAAAGAAATCACTGTATACTCACAACCGGTTGCATACACTCTTCTCACTCACCACCATAAACATACACTCTCCGATCCTCTAATCCGTTCCAATGACACTCACCTTGAATAGCTTTGGTTTAGAAAAGTTGACGAAGAGGAAGAAGAGTGGCATGATTGCTGCGGATGCGCGGTTACATAGTAGAATGAACACATATGCTACGCGGCATTTGAGCCAGTTCATTCTATCCAATCAGATTGCTATCTCATGGTTATGACGCGCCGAGGTGTGTGGCTCCTCCAGGTCAGAAACTTTGCTTTACAGTGAATGTATGTCATTGTGAGTAGACGGGTATCGCATTGAGGAAAGACTCAAAGGATAACCGTCATTAACACGATATGAAGCTCACTTCAAATCCTTCATCATCTGAGAAGTGTCATCGCTACAAACACGCTGAATACAAGTTTCAATACAGGTATCAACGTATTCACTACACTATGTATACAGTACAGGAGTATCCAAGATCTCATGAGACATGATGATCCCGCGCTTGCCAATGTTCCATTTGGTGGAAAAATCATGGTCTTTGATGGTGACTTTCGCTAGGTATCCAACATTGTATCCTCTCTTCTACTTTGCATTCTTTTACTATTAAGCGGTAGTACTTACATCAAAGTATCTGCATCAAACCTGTTGATAGGTCCTTCCTATGATATCATACCAAATGCATCGCGCTCGCAAATCGTACAGTAGTATCTAAATCGTTCATCAATTTGGCCCAGTGTCACCGTCCACCGCCTTGAAACCAACATGCGCGTCCAACAACCTGCCAACACCAATGACACAAACGAGCATGGCCAGTTTATGCAGTATTTACTTTGCATCGGTGATGGTGCTGAGCTCTAGGTGCCAACCACTGATGACAGAGTCCGGCTACCAGATCGGATGCTCATGCCACATTACAACACGTACGAGCTTATAGAAGCCATTTACGGCGACCTGAACGCATCACACGTGGATCGCGATTACCTCATCAGTCGCTCTATCTTGACTCCAAAGAATGTCTATGTTACAGCAATTGATAATTTGGTACTCGACCATTTCCCAGGCACTGTTCACGAATTCCAGAGCGCAGATACCGTGGATGATCCTGAAGAGCAAATAACGTACCCACCAGAGCTGCTCAATTCCATGAATCCATCCGACCTCCCACCACACTTGCTAAAACTCAAAGTCGGTTGCCCAGTCATGCTTTTGAGAAACTTGCACACCCAAAGTGGTCTCTGCAACGGGACACGGCTGATTGTACGCTCTTTTCAAAGATATGTACTTGAAGCTGAAATAGCCACTGGACCTCATGCTGGCAACATTGTCTTGATCCCTCGCATAACTCTCACACCTTCACAAACACGTTCCCCCATTCTATTTAAACGCACACAATTCCCTGTTCGCCTGGCATTTGCAATGACCATCAATAAGGCACAGGGTCAAACTTTTAACACTGTTGGCCTCTACTTACCTGAACCTCCTTTCACGCATGGTCTACTCTATGTAGCCATGTCACGCGTCCGCACCCCATCATCTATTAGAATCATGTTAGATCCCGAGAACTCAAGTATCGCGGGTCAGCAAGGCCAAAACACCCGAAATGCTGTTTTCCATGAAGTCCTTCTCTAATTCTCTTTATCTTCTATTCTCTTTATTATCACCTATTCTCTTTTTATCAATATCACTACATCATCTTTGTCAACACTTCTTTTCGCATTGCATTCTAAACTGGAGATAGTTAAGTATCCAATTTTGACGACTTTCTATGATAGACTACTTCGCACTGCACAATGATCTTGCTTTTGTTTTTGAAAACAGACAATAAGCATCTAATACCAAAACATTGATCCAACCTCGCTTGACAGGGGGGTTTGGGGGGCTTGCCCCCCACTTGGGGGTCAAGGGGGGAACCCCCTTGCGACGCGTTTCCGTTGAATGACACGGAGCGAAGCGGAGGGGCTCATTCATCCGAGCGAAGCGAGGAAGGACCGCTAGTATTGCATGTTATAGAGATAATTCTTTTCCGTCAGCAAAGTAGAGGAAGTAAGTACTTGATAAAATTCTCATCATCACACTCTGAATTTTCAAACTAATAGTATGCAATAGAGCACTGTCTTCATATGCCTGTGCTTTCGCAGATAATTGTATTCGTAAGTTTCCAGGAATATTGTTGTACGTTGATAACATATCATTATCGATTTTATAATAATAAACTGAATAGCATAAGAGGAAGCTTGACTCCTGAAATATACGTCATGAAGTCTAAAACAGTGTGTGGTGTTGTACTGTTGTATGTTATCTGCTCGTTATTATTACTCTGTTATTGATACAACAGCCAATATATTTCATAAGCCGCACGCATAATATTACTGTACATTGGCTAGCTCATCCATTTAGGCCAGGGAGTATACTTCAAAGGCAAGCAGTAGTAGTGGAAGTAGTAAGCGATGATAAGCATGGGCAGTGTTCGCCACAAACAACTCTGGATGCGGCAATAAAATGCATGGCAAGTAGGCCGACCTATCTCGTCCAATCGAAATCGACATTGCTGAAGCTGAAACATAACCGAAAGGTTGACTTGTTGCCCCTCACTTGTTCGCGTACGTCTTTTTGTAAGAAAGAACGCCTTTTCTGTTTCATTACGCAACATCTCTCTTTTTTTGTTTCCCCCTATAACTTTTTTTTTTCTTTTTTCAATCAGCAAATTACAAACATGGTATTGCATCGTCGCTTGTCATTGATGAACAAACCCGAATGGGGGTGGGGTGGGGGTTGTACTAAACACTATACTCAAACGATTCGTATCCCCCCATTAGGCTGCTTCTAGTTCTCAAGGTATCAACACGTTGCTCGAAGCTGAACGTGAAGCTGCAAAGATTGTCCAAAAGGCCAAGCAATGTAAGTTTTTAATCTGTCTGTTATTGATTCCGTTGCTTCATGCAGAGGAGGTAGGGGGGCAGGAATGGACATTATTCAATTTGAATGTAAAACTGACATGGTCCCTGCAACACCCAAAAACCCGGCTTTATTATTCTACTATCTGCAGACCGCATTCAACGTTTGAAGGATGCTCGCTCTGAAGCTACCAAGGAAATCGAAGACTTGAAGGCACAAAAGAACCTTGAATATCAAAACTTCGTTGCCCAGGTAACGTCTTGTATTTCCAAACGTCAGACTATTTGATAGACTAAAGAGGACCAGACACGATATTAAAAGAGTTGTGTGTATGTGTATATAGCACTCGGGCGCATCGGACGCTAGCTTGGGCGTCGTGGACCAGGAAACGGATGCAAAGATTGCCGAGATTCAGTCGGCTTTTGGTGAGAACAAGGAAGTGGCTGCTCAGAAAATGTTGGAAGCCATCATGCGTGTCGATCCTAAACCCCACATCAACGTGAGAGCTTAAAGAAAAAGATACCTTGTTCTTCCCTTTGCACGCCCATCATTTGTGTAAAAAAGAAAACTATTCTCCTATTCCTTTTTCTCTCTATAAACAGAGGCGTGCCTAGCTTGTAACATCGTCGTCGTCATATATAAAGAGTTTATTTCCATGGTAAAGAAAAAGGAGGGCAGTTCTGAGATAAGGGATGGTAGTTTGTTGTTTGGTGCAATAAGAAACATATAGTAATTTTTTTTTCTCGCAGGTTTTACATAATTGTACAGAAGAAAGAAGTGTTAGGTGATGTTTTGAATACACGGGAGTTAGTAAGAGAGAAAGTTTTTTTCGTAAAAGTGAGAGAAAGAGAAAGAGAGAGCATACATATGGTACAGTATAAAGGCGTTCATATAGTAATTTTTACGAAAGGAAGAAGAAAGAAGAAAAACATGGTATAAGGAAAGAATTGTATGTACGCTGGAAGATTATATGTATAAGGGTGAAGACGTTGGGATATATAGAAAGAACGATTGTGAGTGGCCGACTAAAATGATATGTAGTAGGGGTTTTGGTATATTGAGAGCCGAACGTGGTGTTTGTCTTGCTTTAATAAGCATCGAGCATATCGTCGGGTCCTTTCAAGACGCTGATCATGGTCGCAGCAAAAAGAATGCTCAGGAACTTGCACCATCGCACGCTCCTGACACAGGCCGAATAGCCCATGGATGACATCCAACGAGCGCCATAGTGGTACAAGGCTGTTGGGATGGTAACGCCATTTTGCTGGTCTAGTTCGTAGTAGTGCTTGTTGCGGAACTCGACCATGGTCGTACGGATTTCGTCGAGAGGACGACAGCAAAGATCAGGGTGACGCAGCAAAAAGTCAATATCATCGCCAAATCCGCCATCGTCGACAGACATGCTGTCCAAAAAGCTGAGAGCATCGTCCAACACGTTGCGATCCAATTCGTAATAGTCGTTGTTGTTGTTGTTAATGTTGCTCATTGTTGAGTAGACGGATTTCTCAAGGAAAAAGTTGTCGGTCAAGGGAGAAAGTGGGTGCCGTGCGCGAACGTCTTGTTGCTGTGGCGAGAATGGTGGGTACAGTGAACCATGGGTGTGGCAACGATCAAGTTGCTTAGAGTCAAGCAGATCATAAAGCGCGCGTGGATGCGACAAGGTGGATGCAGTTGACATGGATCCAATGTCCGACAAGACATCACTGTTGTTGTCCTCGCTGTTGGTGCTGATATCCGAGCAAGCATCTTCTCGTCCAACAAGATACATGGTGTTGTTGTTGTTGTTGCTCATGTCGTCATAATGCATCCTGGTAGCGGCGGCGGCGGTGGTCGTAGTAGTAGTAGCAGGCTGCTCTGGCAACGGGAACAAAGTGGGTGCCTTTTGACTCCATTGGAGCTCCGTAACGTCGTCTGTGCGCATCCTCTGTGCCTGGCGATGATGTTTGACGCGTCTGCGGCGACGATGGCGTCGTTGGTGTTCTTCGGGCGTGTTGCTCATTATGCTGCTGGCAACGCTGGTGCAATCGTCATCCACGTCATCATACTCGTGGTCATCGTCATCGTAACTACAGGAAGAAGCAGCAGCAGAAGACGTAGCGCGGGTGCTCGGTGAACTGGCACGGCTGAACAGCGATGACATGAGTGACAGTGAAGATAAACGTGACATGGAAAATGCGTGGGACTTTTTCGTGTTGCTGCATCCTTTGACACTGGTATTGCAGCTGTCGTTGTCGTCGTCCATGTCTGTAAGCCCACGATGCGGTTCAGTGGATGAGGACGGAGAAGGAGAAGAGGTTTTGGTAAGCTGATCCAGTTGCTTTCGATGGGCTTCCAGACGTCGCTCGAGTGCCTCGAGTCTGCCACACTGCACGACGTCGTCTTGGATGTTCGTTACTGCGTCGATGGTGGCAGAGGCATCCACGCGCAAGAACTCGAGCTGACTTTGTGTCTGAATGACACTCTGCATCACTTCCGAAAGCTGTTCTTCCAGTAGTCGTCGTCGAAGTCGCATTGTTGCTTTTTCAATCAGATCGTCTTTAAACTTCTGCTCGTCAAGTTTCTTTGTCGCTGGCATCATGCCGCTGCTGGGAAAGATTGATGGTTGTTGTTGTTGTTGTTGTATAAACAGGATATCGCTGTCGTCGTCGACGTTCATCGTTTTCTTTTTGCTGATATCGACAATGGGGTGGGACATGCACAGAAAGAAAATTAAAAAAGAAAAAGAGGTAAACAAAAAAAACTCTCCTTCCTCTCCCCCCGCCTCTTCTCTGTCTCTGCCTGACACAACCCCAAAGCCCGTATAGCTCATCCACCCACATAAAAGCCCTTCCTATCCCTTGTGCCCCAGCAAGGCGAAAAAAAAAAAGCAAGCATCCGTTTGCTTGGCATTCTCTCTTTTTTTATATCATTGCCAGCATTCTTGAGCTTGCTGTGTGCCTTGCTCGCATTTCCCTGCCCCTTATTTTCCTGTGTGCTAGTCAAGCTCACCTCAGAAAGGTAGAATAGAAAGAGCCTTTTTCCTCTGTTTGGTAGCGGAAGAAAGAAAAGAAGGGCAGCTTTCAGTCAAGCAAGAAATAGATTTTTCTTTAAAAAAAAAAAAAAAAGAGGTGGTGTTTGTGGGATAGCCCCTGAATGATCTTTCCCTTTCCGCGTGTGTGCGCTCTCTCTCTTATTCTTTAATTACCCCACGCAAAAAAAAAAAAAGTTATTTGTCAATGACGATGTGAGGCATTGGACTGGATTGAAAGACCGCACATACATTCTGTGCTCTCGGTGGGCAGTTACCTAGCAACACCGCAGGCAGCAAAAGAAACAAAGCACACCAATCGCATCTCTCGAAAGAGCCTTTTCTAGAGTTAGGAGCTACCCCATCTGAAGACGTACAACAATAAGCGATGATACTGCAGTGGTGAAGGGGGTGAGGAGTGCAAACCCCCCCAACCCCCACTTCTTCTTAGGGGGTCGGTCGGTTGGACAAAATAATCCATTCTTATGGGTTTCCCTTTCAGCAAACTGTTGTGGCGAGATGACACTTAGTTTAGTCTTTAGCACAAAATGACGACCCTCACAGCATACGTACTCGGATGGCGATGCAGGTACTGCCACCATACCACTATTAAACAACGACGGGAAGCACTGCACGGGGGTTCCCAAGCCAGAAACAGGCAAACGGGGCATTCTAATACTAATGCGATATACGACGCGCCCCGCAAGAAGTAAGGGTGATGATGATGATGTATCCACCCCAGTTGTTGACAACGTATAGAATAGATCTCCTCATTTTTTTTTCTTTTGGGATGGATGCATCCTACAAACTACTATTATTCTGGTTGGGGTAGTTTTTGTTTTTTCAGTAAGGAGATCACACTACAGTACTACTACTTGTTCAACACACACAGACAAGAGAGACCAGTGGCACTACTGCAGCGCACGGACCGATATGACTTGTTTCTTTTTAATGAGGAATGATTAAAGCGATGAGTGTAATGAGAGCAGTTGCTATGACTACTAATGCTGACTTGTATCTAATGAAGCACTTTTTGCTTTGTTCGTGTGTGTATAAGCGAAGCACTGTGCACCTTGCTTTGTAAGGAAAGACTTTCAGAGCACAAACAGGAACCGCAGATCGTCCACACTCAATTGCTCCAACGCCGATGTGTCCTTGCCTAATATGAAAGACGCATAAATCATATTAGGGAACGTGCTAGAAATACTTGTGTTGCCAAGGCTATTAGGCCGGAAAAAAGCTTACCGAGCGTACTCTCCACCAGCGCTGTCTTCTTTTCCTGTAATTGTACAATACGGCTTTCAATGCTATTTTCAATGACCAACCGCGTGATCTTGATCGGGCGTCGTTGCCCCAGGCGATGGATGCGGTCCATGGCTTGCACTGTGAGTCGTTGGCGACAATAGAATGTTGCATTTTTTGGTTTAGTTACACACTATCATTTGTGGAAAATCGTAGGTTGTACCAATGAAATTATCTTGCACTTACATTCAGCAGCCTATGTACACGTAGCGCAGTAGCACAGTCATTGTTCATGCAAGTCAGCCCAATGCATCCAAATTGACGAAATTTTCAAAACAACCCCACACTCCCTTCACACATCTCGCTTTGCTTCTTACCGGATTCCACCACGGGTCACTATGTACATGCAAAGTCGACTCAGTCAATCATCGAATCGTGCTTGTTGATGCATAATAAGCCCTTACAAGATCACTTACCAAATAAACACTCGACTCGCCTCTGTGAGATTCAAGGCCACACCACCGGCCTTCAAACTGATAAGGAACACTGTCACCGATGGTTTGGTCATGAAGCTTTATAGAAAACATAATCGCCATGTGAGTCCATCTCTCTCTCTCTCTCTCTCTCTCTCTCTGCCAGAAACTGTCAGCAAAAACCATACAAAAAAAGAAAGAGGGACTTACTGTTTGATTGCAGCATCACGCTGTTGTGGTGACATTTGACCATCTAGACGAATGCATTCGAACCCGGCACGCGACAGACGCCAATGGATCAGATCGAGAAAGTTGACAAACTAAGAAGAAAAGGCAAAGTGTAAGTCTCTTTTGTCTGCTTTCGTCCGTTTTCTGCTTAAACAATGGAGCACACGCCATTCGATTACCTGCGAAAAGACAATACTGCATGATGTTTTTTAATCCAATGTTACATGGAAAAAAATGGAATGATAAGTTTCTCGAGGTTTTGTTAGCCCCACCCCCCCTCCTAATAGAAACATTCCTTGTTAATTACCTCTTGATGGTTCGATCTTCACGTCGCAAATTGTGAAGCTCTTCTACCAGAGCCTCAATCTTGGTTGAGCTACGCCATTTGTCCATGTCAATGCGGTTGACAATACTGGTTTTTGTATATCCCGAGTGCGTGCCGCTGCCCACTTCCAATTCCAAAGGCGGCTGCGAGAGATCGACCGAGAAATTGGCAAAGCAAGTTGGACATTTAGGCCGTTGCTTAGTGTCCATTGCATCAAATGATTGAAGATACTGAGTACAGCACTATTGATAATACCAATTCACAGTTAGTTGCTGGTTGCTGCTGATAAAAATGAAAAGCCACATCACTTTTAAGCTTGCTTTCTTCTACCTCTCTGCAGAATACATGACGACACGCCGCGCGAATCGCATCTTCTGGGGGTTCACTGCACAACATGCAGACCAACTGCTTGTTTCCAGACAAGTCCTTCTTCTTTGTCACCAAGTCCGGGTGGTTCGCGCACAGGCGCATGCGCGTGAGCAATTCAAAGATATTGGCATAGTTGTTGAGGATCGAGCCTTCTTCGACATAGGTAGTGAACTGCCGAGCCGTGTTGCTGTACAGCGAGGTGTACACATCCTCCTCTTCTTCCGTAAACTGGTCACGACGCACAGTGACAATACGGGGAGGTAAGCCTAAATCATCGGCGCACTCGACCTTGGTACGCCGCAACATCATCTTGTCCAACAGCTTCCGCAGCTTTTGCATGGCAATGCGGCCTTCGCCCTGGTTGCCGTGGTTTTGAATGGGCTTGAGGACTTCATTGTTCCACCAGCACACGTGCCTAATATATCCATCTTTAATTGAGTATCTCTCTCCCTCCCACTCGTATACGCACTTGCACACAAAAGAGAAATAGAAGCTACTTACTCCATTGGGGTATGAGAGCAGTCGTCACAACCCTTTTTGTCACTAAACTGCCAACTGATCTTTTTACAATCGCAAGACTTGCAGTAATAGTAAGCAAACGGATCTATCATCATGAAGAAAGAAAAAAGTTTAAGTTTCGAGATCCGCTGTTTGTTCCAAATCAAATCAAACTCTTTCGGCAGGTTACACAACATACCGGCTTGCATAAAGCGGATAAGGGAATAAAGTTCACCGACACGATTCTGGAGGGGCGTGCCTGTCAAGGACCATCGGTACTCGCCATTCAGATTGAACTGAGTCGAAGCCGTTAGCATTACCATTTTCACCTTACTACAAACAAAAAGGATCCCAGCTCTTTCAAACTACTTACCGTTGCTCGCGCGGTATTAGAAGCTCGATCCTTAATATTGTGTGCCTAGATATTAATGTAACGTAAGCGTGGGTGCAGTAATTGTTGAGTTAATAACAACTCCTATCAAGTCAGCTCCACTCATTGTCTTGGGCCCGGGGGTAATTCCATTGACAGTATCTTTGGGAAGCCTACCTCATCCAAAATGATTCTGTGCCATTTGACGTTGTGCAGAATCGACTTTTCCTTGCGGAGTTCTCCCATGATCTTTCTACCAGATTCTTGTCGACGAAACTCTCCCTCGAGAAGTGAGTCTAAGAATAATACCACCACCACCGCACCATCAATAGAGAGAGAGAAAGATCAGTGCCCAACATCCTTTCATTAAATACAACATGAGAACCAATTGACTTACAGGTGGTCAGTACCACATCGTGACTCTGTAGTTCCTCTGCCGTAAAGTTTCGTTTGCTGCCTACAAAGATACAAGAGACAAGGATGTTTAGTCAACAATCCTGGACCAAACAAGTTTTACTTGTAAAAGTGCCTCACCATGAAATATCAACACCTTCAAGGCGCTATCCGTATGCTGTTCGATTTCATGTTTCCATTGCATAATGGCGACCTAAAACGTTGAAAAGAGTAAATATTATATTGGCAAACAGGAACCATGTATGACAAAAGCAACATACCGTGGGCGCAATAACCAAATTTGGCTTCTTTCTATCGGACAACAGAAGCGCAATTGTTTGAATCGTCTTGCCCATACCCATTTCATCCTACATTAATGAAAAGACATTTGTATTGACGGTTTAAATTCGATAACGTTATTGGAAGACCTTGCTAAAAGATACTTACACCTAAGACACCTCCTTTGAACTAAAATTATATATCAAGAAATATAAGAAATTAAAATTTGTTCTTTCTTTATATATAAGCAACAGCCAACGATAGACTCACATCATTCAATTCTTCTTGTTGTCGCATCCAGCCAACACCATACCTTTGGAAAGGTAGCAGAGGCAGCTTGAGTTCAGAAGGTTGATCAACAGGGATAGGATCATTGCTGGTCATTGCGTCCAACTCGTCCCACACGTTCTTGAGTTCTGGATGATGCCTGAGCAAATACATGTTGGTTCGCTGTGCCTTTAGATGGTAGGCTATGGTTAGTTTTGATATATAGGAATATATCAAGAGAGAGAGAGAGAGAAAAGTGAACTCACATGGGTCATGCGTGGGCCACGGCGAAGCGTTACCCTACGACGGCTACGTTGATTGCAACGTACGCGAACACGTCGAAACGCGCCCTCATCCTCAGAACCATCTTCTGATGGATCGCTATCTGAATCGTCATCGTCATCGTCATCGCCATCGTCATCGCCATCGTCATCGTCTTCACCGTTATCAGTGGACGTCAAATCAATCGCATCATCTTCTGCTTCAGACGTCGACGACAAAACGATAACATCGTCCTCCTCTTCCTCAGCGTCGTGTAAATCTTTATTTTCTTCCAAAGATTCCAAAAAAGTCGTATCAACAGAAGCAGGTGAAGCAGAAGAGTCTTCATTGGAATAAATCAAGCTTGGAGTAGACGCGCTTGATGAACCAGCGGGAGTTTGAGCTTTGGTGGTCGTGCTTGTTATCACCATTCTACCTTTGCCTTTGCGGTCAACCTTGACATCCGCGGTGATGGTCGGAGGTTCTTCTTGTTTGACTCGTCCTCGGACCGCCGCCGCCGCAGCAGCAGTAGCAGTAACAACGACAGCTGGCTTCTTGTTGTCGTCTTGTTGTTGTTCAGGTTTCACTTTTTGGGCGGGCACTGCCGGAAAGGTTTCCTCTTGCCGATCTTGCTTGACTTTTTGTCGTTTTCTGGGTGATTCAGAAGCCAGACCAGTGGAAGAAGACTGTGATCGCAGCCGACGAGATTGTCGCACCGGAGCTTTAGTATTAGCCTTCGCATCATCATCGTCGTCGTCGTCGTCCTCTTGATCATTCAATTTACGGTTGTTGTCAGCAGTAGCAGCAGGAACAGGGAACGGATCGTTGGTTGCTGCTGCGGCGGTAGTCGAACGAGTGACACGACGATTGACGCCATTGTTGCGTTGAGCTTTTGTTGCAGTAGCTTTCCTTGTAGCGACCATGTAAAATGAGCTAATGGGTGCTTTTAATAAAAAGATAGAGAGAGAGGTAGGGAGAGGATGATTGAGGTTTAAGAGAGTTAGAAAGACAAAGAAAGAAAGGAAAAAAAAGGAACTGTCACAAGCAGGTGAAACCAGGCACTGGAAGGCGTAAAACCGAACCAAGCAGCCCAAACCATGTTGAAATGCCGATTGTTCATCGTTATCGGCGATTCCGCTTCCAATCCGATCGAGTAAAAAGGTTCGATATGTTTGACCCACATCTTAAAAATGTTTTTTATTTGAACAACCATTTTCCAACTAGGGCTTTCATGATATTGGCGGATCGTCTTTCATCCATGCTCCACACCATGCCATCCTTCATGTTTGGACCATAACGATATACATCGCTACTAGCAGCACCGTCATCCTCGTCATCATCGTTATCCAAGCGCATTTCATTCTCCACTTCGGCTACCACCAGTTGCACAATCCGACGCGTCTCGGTATCGTATCCTACACCGTTGGCCATCATTTCGTCGACCAAATTCAGCATTCCGTGTACGTCGCGCCAAAGTTTCCATCGCATCATCAACATGGCGTTGTACACCTCCGTGGTACATCCAGACACGTAGCTCACAACACTGTGGGTTTTGGCGTGTTCGAAAATCGACAGTGCCAGATAGGGGTCCTCGAACGTCATGCCTGCCATTTCGATCGCACGTTCTAATAATTTCGCATAATAGGGTGGATAGCCTCCTTTTGTTGTTGTTGTTGTAGTTGCTGCTGAACTTGATGACGATGACGATGTAAACTCCATGACCCGTTCGAGTAACTGTCGACTGGATGCACATTCAACAATGGTATTGATAGCATTGGTTTCTTTGTCCCTTGCTGCAATCGCGTCATTGTTCGTCATCCTTGCCATATTGTATTCATGGTCGCGTCTGAGTTGCTTGCTCTTGTTGTTGTCGGCCTTGCCATAAAATGAGCTCATCATGCCACGTGGTAGTGGTGATGTCTTTTTATGCGGCTTTCGGCTCTTGATGACCATGTTTAATAACTGTTTTTCAATTTGCGAGTGGATGCGCTTGCTCTTTTTAGCAGCTGTAGGATCCACTGGGGTCTTGGCGCCACTACTGCTACTATTTTTTCGTGGCAGTGGTGGTAATGACGATCCTTGTGTTTGAGACTCAGGGAACAACGTGTATAGCATACTGTTGAAATCACGAGTGGAATCGGAAGATTCAGATCTTGGACTTTGACTTTTTTGTAAAATTATATCGCGATCGAGTACATCAAGTGAATTGTTGTTGTTGTTGTTGCTGCTACTGTTCTCGGTGCTACTACTAGCAGTTGCTGTAGTACTTTGTTGCTGTTGTTCTTCTGGATAGTGTGATTGGGAATAAGATCGGACAAGACATGAGCGGCGTGGTATAGATTGATGGATTGAACGTGTAGAACGTAATAAGATGGCGGTGGCACGTTGCATACTTTGCATAGTAGAATGTACTGACAACAAAACAGAATGAGCCTGGAAATTTTTTTTCTTTTGTATATTTTATTGAGGGTTCTGAGCCCCAAAATCTTGAGTAGAAATTACATGAGATGAACGGGAGAGAAGGCTTTGAAGGTGCTTGTCAACGACTTATTGATTCCAAGGGGATCCTTCCAGTACCGTTCGCCAGTGCATGGCCCATACAGCCTGTACCATAGCCCCAAGCGCGCCTAGGTGAGAGCGCCAGAACATGTTGTCTTTGGAAAAGCGCATTTTATGAGCACTCCAGAGTTGGTCCGATGTTTGTGGTGGGGCGCGTAATCGCTGCAGTGCTTGGACCCAAAAGGATAGCGTTACAGGGCAATCAATGAAAGAATATCGTAATGTTTCTGGTTCAACATCACATAGGGGGGCAAAGATTATTTGGATGTTTTTGACGGAAGACAAAGAAAGTAATTGGGCTTTGTTTGACAAAGTGATTCAAAGAAAAGGATAGCGTTCTATGCAATATTGGAGTCGTTCGGTTGCAATATTCTTTGCGGTGCGTTGAAAATATACCTTGTCATCGCCTTGATGAGTAAAAGAGCAAAGCAAAGATCTAAAAGGTTTAATAGAGCAGAAAGAGAAATAGTTCACCCATGGCATCATACCGGACCAAAACGCGGCTCAAGACCCTTAGTTAAAAGCGACTACTACACAGCTACCTATAGATAACTGCAATTTGTAAATTCCTAAGAAGCGAGTTGTACAAGGGGACCACGTTTATATAAGCCAACACGTAAGCCGAAACCATTGGTATACTTGGCCATGAATACCGTATCCAATTCGAGCGCTTTTTGGGTCACAGTGAATCCATTTTTTTCTAGTTAGTCTGTCAAGACCTTATGAGCATGATATTCTTCCAAACCAAGGCCAGAGTTTTTGTGCAACTAAAAAAAAAGAAAAAGCATCAAGATGTGTGTACAAATTAGAGTCCGTTAAGATTGCGGCGATCAAGAGTGTTCCTGCAATTCTGGGTAAATACGATCGTTTTCGGTATAAGCCATGTTTTGTGCTTACTATGTTTGTGTCAGTAGTAGTTAGTTATTTTCTGCTGTGCGATTATGGTATGTACAATGCTCAGTCATAAAGAACAGAGAAATTCAGTCGACCAACATATTTTCCATAGTCAGAGATGCAATTCGAGGGAGCGGCCGGACATATACATATCATACTCAGGGGAGATAAGAAGAAAGAATACGGGTGTGTTTCCAAAAGATCTTCCAAGTTGACAACGCACACTCAAAAAAGCTCGTATCATACGCCGAGAGATTTCTTGACTTACAACTAAGACTTAGTACCAAACAAATGTAGTAAGAATGACTACTTTTACATACCCTGGTGGAAAACTACTGTACATCCATCTTATGCGATTAATGCTTAAACTATATAAACTGTGCTAATGTGCCTAGCGAAAGAGTAGGGAAGGGTTAAAACGAAATCTTATCGCCAGGGATAATACAGTACCGACAAGACTGGGACCAGTAATTTGATGTTGTGGTCAATCTCTCGATCGATACCATACCAAACGAGTGTGTGAAAGACTTTTGAATTGATTTCTCACGCAAACTGTTTGTTATGCTATATTTTCCTCCATATGTCAAGGAAGAAATTGTCGTGCTGCGGATGTGCAACCCAAGATCTTGGCTTTTCATAATTATTAAGACCAAGCAAGCAATAATAATAAGTTGTATGTGTTGCTACTGTCACGTTATGTTTATTAATTAACAGGCATAAACAGAGGAAACTGGCTCAATTGGATCGTCATGGAACGCGCAGCCCACAGCATCTATTAACAATACCTGTGCACATACCCGCGGAGCTGTGGCTAAATCGGGAAGAAACTTTGGATTGATCGAATTGTATTTGCGTTAAAGATCAAATAGACATGATCACACAGATTAATTGCAAATGGTTGTCTACGCTCGACTTTTTGGACGTGTATTGTTCAGAGCTATGTATGTATTAAGGGTCTCCTCTCGAAGAAATGTAACGAATCTGCCATACGACACTCTTGACTAGAGGTATAGCGCGCATCATTAAGAATTTCAACGTTGTCAGACCTTCTTCTTTTCACAGGCTATCAAACCTTAAAAATATTGCTTTGGGTCTCAAAACGTAGAATGTCGTAAAGATACGTGTAGCTTGGGTGAGGTTAGATAGCTAATATGCAGCATTAATTAAAGTAGTAGCTTGACTACATACAATACGCGTAATACACAATAACAAACAGCACATGTTTGATAGACGGGGGACAACAACAACAAGGCCTTTATTTAAATTGGTCAAATTCCTAAAGAGGCTCGTCCAAAAACGAGAGTGTCGATGTCTTAGCTTTGCGGGAAGGTGCATCGGCATCTGCTCCCGAACCCTCTACCACAAAGCTGGGTTCTGTCTTGGTCGCTTTATGGATCTCGGAGGGTCCGATCGGCATTGAGATGCCAGCGGTCTCACCAATCAACTTACCTACTTAGAAGTCGCCCCGTGCCTACAAAACAAGCATCAGCACCCACCCTTGCGCTTACCTACCCTCACTCACACTCACACACACTGAAAAAAAAGGAAGGGACTTACCACATGTGATCGAGAAAAAGCGAGGAAGCAGCACGCTGCGGAAAATGGGTGCCTTTTCATGCACACGTTCAAGACCCCGCTTCTTTTGAAAAAAAGAATACCCCCACTCCCATCCACAGGTCCGTGCCAACAACGCGGGGAACAATGACAGATCTTCTGTATCGTAGCGACAGTATGTAACACTATTACAACGCGCTTTACCATACTTTGGTACGCGTTTTTCACCTTTTTTTTTTGTTTCTATCTTCGCGTAGTTCGTTCGCAAAAATAATCGAAAGGAAAAAATTATTCGGAGGGTACCAGCCCGAAACCTGTTTTTTGTTTTGCTTTGGTTTTTTTTTCACATGTATCATACATCACCCGTACACACGCCGAGGAAGTAAACACCACGTCTGATTGGCTTTGTGTCGCTATTGATAAGGGAGGTGGATGAGTAATGAGCAAACCCAACAGCACTATCAACCTGAAGAAGCAGCGTGTATCGATAATAGTAGTTCTAGGATGACGCGCATACTATGCTGAAAACAGCCATGCTGCTCTATAGTCTGCCCTTGGCAGTTTAGTTTAAGCTGTCCACATCCATCATTGCGGGCTTGGAGGATCGGCAACCGATAATTGCGTGAGAATCGATGTCTACTTGGGAGACGGAGTGCTGGGAGTCTCTCATGTGAAAATCGTAGGCTGGACCTCATGGTGCCTTGTGCGAGCAAAACATCCCCTTTTCTTTTCTGCCGAGCATCAGCATCGTTGAAGAAAAGGAGAGGGTGTTTTGATATCATTCAAACGTCAAGTCGTTACAATATTTTGAAACACACCTCTTTCAAAAAATGGCATTTCTGATATATTATAGTGCACGCCACGCTGAAC